TCGAAAAGTGAGAGGCAAGGGGACTCACTATAAAAAACCACCCCAAAGGGGACAGAATTTTACTACGTCCACGCCGTTGTCTCTGGGTTATGCAAAAAGTAGAATATATATTTTCAGTTAGTTTTGATGCTTTTTTAGATATTTTGTCGGCCATATTGGATCCGCCATATTGAATTTGGAAATTCTATCCTCAGATTCGTGATCAGCGACCCCAAAAACCTTGATGTATGCATTTTCAGTCAATTTTGATGCTTTTTTCGATATTTTGTCGGCCATATTGGATCCACCATCTTGAATTTTAAAATTCTAACCTCAGATTCGTGTTCAGCGACCCCGAAAACCCCCATATACGAGTTTCCAGGGACTTTCAGGGACTTTCAAAGAGTTTGGGCGATCGGGCAGCTATTTGAATCTCTTTTTCCATCATTCAAATAACGCGCAGGGCTTTCCGGTTATTATGAAGAGGTTAGGAATTTTTCATGCCAGGGAAAAAATTTTGTCGTCATCTTGAACTATTTTGTGCACTTTTGGTTGAAGTCCAAAAATATTTTGATGGCATTTTGTCCCTCAAAAAAATCCCAAACTCGGAAGAACTCAGAATTTTCGTCACTTTTTTGTTTAAAATCCGCCATATTTTTTTTTTGGTGACTTTAAAATGCAATTTTGACTTCACCAATCGAAAGAGCGACCTCGAAAATAGTGGATAAGGTACTTTGGAGCTATTTTAAAACTGATTTTCATGTTACTTACAACGTCTGAAATAACAAACAAAATTCTGTTTCTTTGGGCGTTAATGGGTTAAGATGGTAACGCATCTATAAGGAAGTACTATAAGCAATCTTGAAATTCAGTGTATGTCATTTCGCCGAAGTGTGAACATCTTTTTTTTTCATAGTGTTAAACATGTCGAGTTTCGTGCCAAAAAAAGAGTATTTGCGGGGAATTTTATTGTACTACTTTATTAAAAAAAAATCTGCAGCTGAAGCACACAGAATTCTTGTTGAGACTTACGGTGACCATGCTCTGCCAGAAACAACATGCAGAGATTTTGGCTTAGACGCTTCAAAAATAATTATTTTGATGTTGAAAATAAAGAACGTTCTGGTATACCGAAAAAGTTTGAAGACGAAGAATTGGAGACATTACTTCATGAAGACTCATGTCAGACGCTAGCTGAACTTGCAGAATCATTAGGAGTTGATCACACAACAGTTTCGAGACGTTTGAAAGTATTAGAAATGATTCAAAAGCAAGGACATTGGGTGCCGTACGAGTTAAAACCGAGAGACGTCGAACGGCGTCTTTTCACGTGTGAACAGCTGCTTCAACGGCAGAAAAGGAAAGGTTTTTTGCATCGTATCGTGACTGGCGATAAAAAGTGGATACACTACAATAACCCTAAGCGTAGAAGATTGTGGAGTGAGCCCGGCCATGCATTAACATCGTCGGCAAAGCTGAATGTCCATGGTTCGAAGCTTCTGCTCTGCATTTGATGGGATCAGCTGGGTTTAGTTTATTATGAGTTGCTCAAACCGAACGAAACCATCACGGGAGATCGCTATCGACTACAATTGATGCGTTTGAGCCAAGCATTGAAGGAAAAACGGCCGCTATAAGAGCAGAGACACGACAAAGTGATTTTGCAACATGATAACGCTCAGCCACATGTTGCACAACCGGTGAAAACCTACTTGGAAACGCTTAAATAGGAATTTCTACCCCACCCGTCGATTCACTAGACATTACCCCTTCCGATTATCACTTGTTCCGATCGATGGCACATAGTCTGGCTGAGCAGCACTTCCATTCTTATGAAGATGCCAAAAAATGGATCGACTTTTGGATAGCTTCAAAAGACGTGTCGTTTTTCCGACATGGAATTCAAATGCCAGAAAGATGGGAAAAAATAGTGGCTAGCGATGGACAATACTTTCAGTGACATGTTTTTTACAAGTTTTTTTAAATAAAGCATTAATTTTCACGAAAAATCAGCGAGAACTTATTCAAAGTCCTAATAGTATTTGTATGAAACCTAGTATCTAGTGTTTTTTGGGTCGCTGATTACAAATCTGACCTCAGATTGTCGAAATTCAAAATGGTGGATTTAAAATGGTGGACAAACATAAAAAGTGGATAAAAAGTGAATAAAATATCATAAAAATCGTTACTCGACGATTTTTAGGGTCGTTAATTGCGAATCAAATATCAAATTTTCAAAATTCAAAATGGTTGATCCAATACGGAAGACCAAGAAATAAAAAAATGTGTTTTAGGTCTTCAAAATTAGTTGGCGGGGATCTTTTTGGCAGCTGATTACGAATCTAAAATCAAGAGTAAATTTTTTGATCCAATGCATTATGCCAAACATGTAAAAAATGAGTCTCGTCAAAAGATAGAAAATATCCTGTAAAATCTCGATTTAGCGTTATCCATAGCTAACGATGCTAATTTTAAAAATTTGATATTCGATTCGTAATTAACGACCTTAAAAACCATCGAGTAACGATTTTCATGATATTTTATACACTTTTCAACATGTTTGTCCACCATTTTAGATCCGCCATTTTGAATCTCGAAAATCTGAGGTCAGATTCGTAATGAGCGACCCAAAAAACACTAGATACTAGGTTTTATACAAATACTATAATTTTCTGGAATTCGTCCGCCATATTGGATCCGCCATTTTGAATTTTTAAAATCTGACTCCGGATTCGTAATCAGCGACCTAAGAAACCCTTAGATAACAAGTTTCATCGAAATCTGATAATTTTTTAAAAAGTCGTCCGCCATATTGGATGTGTCATTTTGAATTTTGAAAATCTGACTTCGTATTCGTAATCAGCAACCCCAAAAACCTTAGACCTTATTTTCAGCTTATTAATTATTGGTTAGTCACAATTACATTTATTATAATATATTAAAAGACAGTATTTTTATAGTTTGTTTATTTATAAAATACATTTCCTTTACAATAGGAATGTTTTAAAAATTTTTTATGACAACTGATGTTCTACATAATTGATAATGTACTTTTTATTGTACAGATTGATGTTGAAAACTATGTAAAAAATATAAAAAACTAAGGGCAAAAAGGTATCCAGTATATGGTACACTATGCCGCAAAGGGTTAAGGGGCGCCGCACACGAATTGACATAACAGTAACGTACCGTAAGAATTGACCAATCACTTTGAGTATCGTCGAACTGTAA